ACCAAATAAGAGTACACCAAAAGCTCATAATTGACAATGCTGGAATAGTCTCATCATCATCATCAACGAAGAACCAATGTTGATATCCTATCTGGCGCTCGGCGCCCAGACTACAGATGGCAGATCCTATCTAGCCTATACTACAAAGCCGAAGATGACGACAACAGCTCTCCCGAAGTACGAGCAGATAGCGGCCAATGCCGCACGCGTCAAGCACCAGGTATGTCTCTCGCATCACTCACAACCTCGTTCCTCAACACACAGATGCCACATGCACCCAAGGACCACCCTGCGCCACACCCAGGTCACAGCAGCGCAGCCCGGTTATGGCTGCCTGCTCCTTCCTGCTTGCCCGTGGGCGCGTGAGCGCCAGCCAGCTTCAGCGCAGCAGCGCTTGCGCAGCATGCAGCCAGCACCCGAATGCCCAATGCGGAGGCAGGCCCTTTGTTTATGGAAGTGGCCTGCCTGCGTTCTGTCCCAGGCTGCGCTGGGCCTTTCCCAAGAAGCTTCCGGTAGGCTGAGGCCCAGCCCGAAACAAATCAGGCCCAGGGCCTGAGGTGGTTGCTTTTGCCCAACTGACTTCGGCCTGTGTTTGGCCCACATCCCGTATCCAGCCTAGGGCTTGCCTTCGATACATGCAAACAGGCGGCCCAGGGCCTGGGTGCTTTCAACCAACTGGCGCTGCGCAACTGCCTGAATTTCCTTAGTTGCGTGGTGGCCGAAGCAGAGCCCTCAGGTCCTCGTCGAGCCTGCCTTCACTTAGGGTGGCCGACGTGCTGCTTGACAGGGCCTGAAAGGGGCTCATCGAGGCAGTGGCCTCGCATTCCCTCCTCCATAGCTTCAAGAGTCCTCCGAGAAGCTCAGCCTTCAATCATCGGGCGCTTTCCCTTCTGCAGAGATTTCTCGTAATGGGCTACAACCTGAGGAGCGGTCTGCATGAGTTCCTCCCTGGTGAACCATCGGTCTTCCTTTGGATCAGTATGATGCCGGAACCGAAAGCGGTACTGCAGCTTCGGTTTCGGAGGACTCCCCTGCCGGTCGGTCTTGGCACTGGCAACTCCCTGTGATCCACGATGTCATCGATGTCCACCTCTCCGTCCATGGTTGGGGGCAACATTGATCGACGAGAAGGAAACTGGTCTGTTTCCTTGAAAGGTGCAAGTTTGGAGGCGTGAAAAACAGGATAAGTGTGGAGGTGACCAGGGATCCGAATTACATACGACGGCCCATCTGGATCCGTCCCGACAATGTCTAAGACCTCCCATGGCCCAAAGTACTGAGGTATGAGCTTGCGGGAAATCCCGTGCTCCTGTCCCAGTTCCGAGGACTTAACCCAGACTCTGTCCCCACCTGAAACGTAGACGGGCGGCGATGTTGGTTCTCAAATTCTATCATTGCCACCTGAGTCTTCTGCATTTGTTCCACTGCCTGCTGCATCTTCTGCTCATATAGGTATGCAAATTCTGAAGTACCTGGTGCAGCAGTTGACTGATTTTCAGGTAGTAAGAAGTCTAGAGGCAGTCTAGGTTTGAAGGTCAGTAGCAGGCCGTTAGGGCTCACTCCAGTGGCGCTGTCCACATCATTGTTATACAGACTGGCGATGAGAGCAAGCTTCTCGTCCCAGTCAACCTGATTGGGCTTGATGTAATGCCGCAACAGGTGTTGGACAGCGCGATTCAATTGTTCGGCCTGGCCATTGGCCTCGGGGTGATTACCCGAAGTCATCTGTAGCTGCGTTCCCTGTTCGACAGCAGCAGCCTTCCACAACTCACTTGTAAATCTGACATCCCTGTCACTCATGATTGACTTGGGTAGACCAAAATCTCTGACCCAATGGTCCTTGAACAATCTGATCACGTACTCAGTCTTCGTTGTTTCCGGTATGGCAATTAACCTAGCGTACTTACTAAATCTATCTACGATAACAAAGATGTGTCTCATTCCGCTCCTGCTGGTGACCAGCGTATCCATGAAGTCCATGGACAAGCTCTCACCAGGCCTTTTCGGAATCGGAAGGGGCTTCAGGGGCCCGAGAGGAGCCTCAGTACGTTGCTTGTCCCTTTGACAGACTTGACAGGTCTCCACATACAGTTGGGCATCTCTCATCATCGTGGGCCACCAGAACCGCTGCAGTAGATTGGCTGCTGTCTTCTTATATCCAAAATGGCCGGTGGCATCGTGACACTCACCTAAAAATAAACTACGCAAAGACTCTCTATTTGGGACACACAACCGTTTATTCCCTGCCTTCTCAAGGAACAACAAGCCGTTGACCAACTCAAACTCGGCAGAAGTCTTCTCATCCTTCGCCTCAAGTCTGCGTATGATCTCAGATATGAACTGGTCCTTGCGATAGGCTTCCACCAAGGAGCGAGTGACATCGAAATCAGTAATCAGCGCACCTGAGAAATCAGGTCTACGCACCAACGCATCAGCAACCTTGTTGTACTTGCCCTTGATGTACTGGGGCTCGATGTCATACTGCTCTATGACTTCAATCCAACGCTTCAGAGCGTCGAAGAGCACAGACAGGGTTCTCATCCACTTCAGGGTCTGATGATCAATCCTGATGTAGAAGAACCTCCCAAGGAGATAGTGCCTCCAATGGGTGAGCGCCTTGTAGATCGCATAGAGTTCCTTCTCATAGATGGACTTAGCCAACTTCTGAGAGGGCATCTTTTTGGACATGTACTCTATTGGCCTCAACTTCTTCCCCTCCTGTTGTGCAAGTACGGTGCATATGCCATATTGGCTAGCATCCGTAGTTACTATAAATGGCTTGTCAGGATCACGAAGTTTCAAAATCTCATGATGCGTCAAAGCATGCTTCAGATGTCTGAAAGCAGCCTCACATCTGGTTGTCCACTCCCATGGGGTGTCAAGGCGAGTTAGATCAGTCAAAGGGGCGGCAACTATGCTATAGTTCTTCACGAAATTGCAATAGTAGCCGGTCATCCCTAAGAAAGACCTCATCTCAGTCACAGACTGAAAACGCGGCCAGTCACGAATGCTGGCCGCCTTCCATCATCGGGCTTTAATCCCTCCGCGGAAATCTCATGACCCAAGTACAAGACATGGGTGCGACCAAACTCGCACTTCTCACCGTTGATCTTGAACTCGTGCTGCCGCAGACGACTCAGGACTTTGTCCAAGTGCGCAACGTGCTCCTCGACAGTCTTACTAAAAATAAGTACGTCATCAAGGTACACAATGACAAACTTATCCAAGTAGTCATGAAATATCCGATTCATAGCGTGCTGAAAGGTGCCAGGAGTATTGCAAAGGCCGAAAGGCATCACCACAAACTCGTACAGATCGTACCTGCTCTGAAATGCGGTTTTGTGTTGATCCTCGAGCCGAATTGCAATCTGATGGTACCCGGACTTCATACCTATCTTACTGAAGTACCTGCACCCTTGCACTCTATCTAGCAAATCGTCGATGCGCGGTAGGGGCTCTCTGTTCTTAACAATGATGGCATCGAGGCCCCTATAGTCAATGCACATCCTAAGTGTTCCTTCCTTTTTCTTCGGAAAGAATAGGACTGGTGAACCATAAGGAGAAACACTCGGCCGGATCCATCCCTTTTCTACGAGTTCCTTGAGTTGCCGGCGAAGCTTGTCAAGCTCGCCTGGAGACATCCGATAGATCCTACCCTTTGGGATGCTAGACCCTGGGATAATCTCTATCGCATGGACGACCTCCCTCTCAACAACCCCTGTCGGCTCTTCAAATAGATCAGGGTATTTTGCGACTACTCCCTCTATCTCCGGCGACATTTTCACCGGCTCACCTGCAGCAGAGACATACGCTAGATACATACTCTCCTCCTGATTTTGCTTGTAGTAATTGTAGAACACGGCCGCACACATGCACCCGTAGGACTCGATCAGACTACTAGCCTTGAACTTACGTAATCTGGCGGTCCCTCCACCTGGCAAAGTGTGTTTGACCACTTTTCGGTCCCGACCAAACTGGGGTTGTGCCACAGAGAGGTAGTACATACCTAACAACATATCCATGGGGAGTCCATCGCTCACTAGGAACGAGATGCGATGTCTCAGTTCCCCTCACGCGTACGGGAAACAACACTCCACGCAGTCATTGACTACCATGTGCTGTTTGTTGGCACAGGTCGACTCCACAGGTCGACTCAGGCGCTACACTCGCCCCTGTAAACGCAGCCTCTCAACGCACGCGCGACTAATGAAGTTCAGTGTCGAGGCCGTCTTCGGTACCTACTGACTTTATCGCGGTCCCTGAATCACTCCGGGTTGTGGACCCTGTGACACAGGCTCCTGCACTGACTGCAGGGGTTGTGTACCCTGCAGCTGTACAGGCTGCGAGACAGCAGGCTGCACACTTACGGCAACCTGCGACGGAGGTTGGGTAAACCATGTCTGTACAGGAACCTGTAAACTAGGACCTGCTGAGAGCCCTCCTGCTAACGGCATACCCAGGGAAATGGTCTGGACCGATGCTGGAGCTGTATATGGGGATACCCCAGTCACCGGTGGGACAAAAGGAGGAGGATGTACAACGGGCCAGGCACCGGGCCCGGACGGTGATGGTGCCACCTGCATTCGCCCGACTAACACGGCCAGACTCTGTTGGATGTCCTGTAAGATCTCCATTTGGTGATCTTGCATCTCTACTACACTTAACAAGACCGACCGTATGGTCGTCACATCATCCTCCATCTCTGCTGGGTCCATCTCCTCTAACTCACTAACGTCCACTTGCCTCCGCTGCATCCTAGCTCTTCTCCTAATCATTCTCTCTTTCTCAACCTTAATCTCTCCCAACGCCTGTTGTAGCTATGCCTCGCGATCAGCAGCTCGGTGTATGGCGACCTCCTCGGGAGTCATCACTAATGCATAACGCCAGTGGACTGACTCTGGGTCTGCGCGACCGTTGACTCTACAGACCCTGAACTACCAGCCTGAGAAGTCTGCTGCGCAGAAGTGGCCATGGCTTCCAAAGTTGCGGCTTCGCTTACGAGCACCCTACTAGCCTTTGCTGCTCTAGCTCTCCTCTGTTGCTGGTGTCTCTCCCTACGCTGGCGGAACATATTATGTCGCCCTCTGGTCCTAAAGCCAAGTGGGCAATCGGTCGTCTAGCCGATCGCAAGAGCCGGTCGTCCGGTTGTGGAATCTCCCTGTCACTCATAAGCTAGAGCACTGTACAGTACCTGCACTAGGACACTCAATCGATGCCTACCGCAGTGACATGTTCAGACTGATTTATAATAAAATAAAAATAAATAATCGGCGGCTATATCAGAGACTAAACATTCGAGTCCAGCAGGTAAGTCCAAATTCCTTCAAATGATACTATTCTACTTTGACTAGTTCGCAAACAGAAAGCACAATGAACAGAGGACAGTTCTAAACTATGTTGTCTGTCAGATGTCAATGGCAGTACATCTAACTAATCAAAATAAAAATAACATCATTTGTTGGGTCTGTTTGCAGCATGGGATCTTCCTCAAACTTATCACCTGGAATCTACCCCTTGCCCAATTCCCCTTGATTGTCACTTGACGTCAGCGTCACTGAGCAATCCGGTTTGGCGTGCGTGACTAAAGGTGTGCACACGGCCCACCCCTGTGCCCCGAGTAGCTGCTGAGCTGGCCAGCCCTGCACTGTGTTTATCCTCGCATGCAGCGAGCCTTACAGCAATTGGCTGATCCAGAGGCAATTTAACGACCACCCCCAAGTGTCATCAGGAATTATTTTAGGTTGCAGCAGGACGACGATCAAAACCAACGGTTTATTTATAGACGCCCGGTACTCGTCTCTCCCATAGGGCTGGCCTGCCCTTCAGTACCCCTTCTATGAGCGCAGCAACCAGACAAGGACAAAGCAGCAAAGCATACGTGCTCCACTCCCGGTGGGTTGGCATGGTGACCGTGACCCAGTGCTCTGTCCAGGGCCCTTCAGAAAGCACTGCCCTCTCCTTTCAGATGCTCCACGTGAACAATGTCGACTCTCAAGGTTGAGCGCACACGACACCTCACATGAGAGGACTCTCAAGAAGGAACTCACAACCTCATGGTAAGAAGTGATGAAGAGGGTACATAAGGTTAAGAGCAACGTACCTCGATATAGCTGCCCCCAACCACAGATATTCTCACCAGATGACCTGATGGCGATTGTGATGACCAGTCACTGCATCGGCACAACCAGCATTATCTCGTCGTTCCACCTCAACATCAATCAACCACCAGATAGTTCTCATCACACTGCAAACACCCAATATACACACCGTAGCCTTCCTGGCGATTCCCCTCTCCTCCTGGGTCGCCACACTTGTCTCCGCCCTCCTCACTACACACCGCCTACGGCCTCACTCACCAAGCAGACCGCCTGTATGTACCACATAGACAGAAGACAAGCGCCAGATGAGCGCAACGTACCACMGCTCCGATACSAAATTGCAAGGAAGATGAGCAATAGCGAACTTCAGCAATCAAACAGCATCATACACATAAKACCAGATAGTCGTGACCTCGAACCAATAGCAGAATTGCATCACGAGTTTCACCAAATAAGAGTACACCAAAAGCTCATAATTGACAATGCTGGAATAGTCTCATCATCATCATCAACGAAGAACCAATGTTGATATCCTATCTGGTGCTCGACGCCCAGACTACAGATGGCAGATCCTATCAAGCCTATACTACAAAGCCGAAGATGACGACAACAGCTCTCCCGAAGTACGAGCAGATAGCGGCCAATGCCGCACGCTTCCAGCACCAGGTATGTCTCTCGCATCCCTCACAACCTCGTTCCTCAACACACAGATGCCACATGCACCCAAGGACCACCCTGCGCCACACCCAGCTCACAGCAGCGCAGCTCGGCTATGGCTGCCTGCTCCTTCCTGCTCGCCTGTGGGCGCGTGAGCGCCAGCCAGCTTCAGCGCAGCAGTGCTTGCGCAGCATGCAGCCAGCACCCGAATGCCCAATGCGGAGGCAGGCCCTTTGCTTTATGGAAGTGGCCTGCCTGCGTTCTGTCCCAGGCTGCGCTGGGCCTTTCCCAAGAAGCTACCGGTAGGCCCCGGTAGGCTGAGGCCCAGCCTGAAACAAATCAGGCCCAGGGCCTGAGGTGGTTGCTTGTGCCCAACTGCCTTCGGCCTGTGTTTGGCCCACATCCCGTATCCAGCCCAGGGCTTGCCTTCGATACATGCAAACAGGCAGCCCAGGGCCTGGGTTCTTTCAACCAACTGGCGCTGCGCAACTGCCTGAATTTCCTTAGTTGCGTGGTGGCCGAAACAGGGCCCTCAGGTCCTCGTCGAGCCTGCCTTCACTTAGGGTGGCCGACGTGCTGCTTGACAGGGCCTGAAAGGGGCTCATCGAGGCAGTGGCCTCGCACTCCCCTCTATCCCCCTCCGCCTCCCCCTCCCTCTTCCCCCCCTCTCCACCGAGTTGCCAGCATGTATACCCCTGAAGGCCTCATATTTCGACACGGGCAGTAGCCGTTTAATACACTGGTCATTATTTCAAATCCTGGATGATGAAAGAGGACTTGCACCTGTCCTTAGGGACATCCGTTAAAATTGGAACTATACAGATAAGATTAGCATGGCCCCTGCGAGGATGACACGCATAAATCGAGAAATGGTCCAAATAACAGGAAAAAAAAAGTAGACTTGTACCCATGATATTGACTGGATTTTTTGCGGGAATCTTTTTAAATAGAGAGAATATCCTTATTATGTTAATGTCAATTGAGTTAATGTTACTTGCTGTCAATTTGAACTTCCAAGTAAATCTTACAAGGCCGTATTTTAAGATTCAGAACTTCGCGTTAGCGCCTTCTCTTCGATCCCTTGTGTTTTCTAACAAGTCATGAGTTCAAATCCTGCATAATGCAAGAGCCCCTCCCCGCCGACAGGATTCGAACCCTGTGAAAAAAAAACACTCCCCTTGGATTTAGGTTCTTTAACAACCTTCATCAAATTGTTGATGCAGAGATGTCTCCCCTTCAATTCTTAATGCACAAATCCCCTTCAAATTGTTAACGCACAAATGCCCCTCAACCTAGCTCGCAGTGATTTGGCAGTGGAAATGAACAGCCGGTTACATGTGGCAACCACACCACTTTTTCAGCTCCCCAGGGACCCCACTGCTTTTTCTTCCCACCACACTGCTCTTCTTTTTCTTTTTATGCATTTCTTACCTCCTCTCCTCCAAGGACGACACTGTTTTTTCAGAGTTTTCTTCCTTTTTTTCCGCTTTTTTCTTTCATTTCCTTGTTTTTGCAGTTCTGCTTCTTTTCTTTTTTTCTCTGAAAAATCATCCATGAGATGGCTACTGTTGGAAGTGATAGGAGCATCCACCAATAATACGGTCCTGTTGTAGATGGCTCCAATCTATTTATTGGTGGGGAGCTGCACCAGCTGGAAACCTGGTCCAGAGTCCCAGTCACAAGATCGGCGGAAGTTGTAACATGCAGATAAGGAGGCTAAGCCGCTAAAGTGTGTTTTCAAACTTTTCATGCAAGAATTCGCTCTTTTCAGTTTTTCAGGATTGGGCTGGCCAAAACAGTCATCTCCAAGACCCCAACAAACACCAATCTTGGCAAACGCAGACCTTGACCAAAAGTGGAACAGGGCAAAAAAAAAAAAAAAAAAAGCCCTTGTCAGTGGTGGGGGTGCTGACCTGGGGCTGAAAAGTGGGGGTCCTTGTTAACCACTTGTGTTTTTCACTGTTGTTTTCCCCCTTTCTTTTACTCTGCTTTTTCCTTCCCGCAAGGGACTACACTGCTTCCCCCCCCCCTCCCCCCAAGGACCACATTGGGTCAGATCTAGATGCCTGACTAACTAAGTGCTCTTGTTACTCAGGACGCCTTTTCTTCAGATCTCACTGGATAAAAGTCAGGGACAAGGTCCACTGATGCTCTATTCATTGCTTACAAAAGCAGCAAGACCCATGCTAGCACTGTACACACCTAGCTCGAGCGGGAGACTAGCCCTCTGAATTGAATCCAACTATACTCCCGTCATTTCCAAGTTGCCGTTGCCTGTCGATTTCTGGGTGGTCTCACAGACGATGGGCAACTTTCAGACAGTCCCTGCATTTTTTGTACAGGTGGCACTTTGCTGCGATGGGAAGTGGTTCTGCTGTGCAGCACGCACAAGATCAACTGGTACCCAGGGCTATTCTTTTTTTTTTTTGTATTTCTTAAACCAGCACCTGGTTATTTCTTAAACCACCACCCGCGCTGGCACTTCAGCCAGAGCTTGGCACACAGTTCTACTCCGGCTCGTCAAAAGAGGCTCGGAGGTAGTGGTGGTTTAAGGTGACAAGGATGCATATCCCTGGCCGTTGCGACTGCACTGGGGTGGCAGGCAGGCGTAAGTGGTCAGGAGAACTCTGACAATGCTTGGAAAATGCGGTACGTACTCAGGCGAACCCAGCAGCATCCAGTCAATGTTCAACTAGTAGCCTTCTCGCCCCTGACACAAATGCCCCCGCATCACGCCTGCATTTGGACCGAAACAGGGTTTGTATACATTCACGATTAGGTGGCATTATCTTGGGGGAAGAAGGTAGTAAACCTGAGTACAGGCACAGATTGTGCTCAGGATGACACTGGCAGAACATAGAGGTGAACCCAGCAGCATCCACAGAGTGCTCGACTACTACTATCGTCTTCCTCCAAACACAATGCCCTAGCATCAGGACTGCATTTGGACCGAAACAGGTTTTGTATACGTTCATGGTTAGGCGGTGTTATGTAAGGGGAAGAAGCTAGCAACTCGAGTACATGCAACAAAGACTATGCTCAGAATGACACTGACAGATCATGAAAACACAAGTGGTTAACAGGGACCCCCACTTTTCAGCTCTTTCGTGGACGGGTCCAAAACTGAAATTAGGGTTAAATTTTATAGCCTTTTTACTTTTTTTTCTTTCTTTTTTTGCCTGTACAGGCAAAAATTATGCTCAGAACGACAATGACAGACCATGACGACTTAAAGGACCAGTACATCTGCATCTGAGCCCCTTCTTGCCACAGCGGATTTGCACTGTGCACCAAGCTTTGCCTAGCCGTGAGAGGTGCACTTTATACCCCTTTATGGATGGCACCACCGCCGAGGTCCCAAAATTTTAGGATTGGCTCAATTTCGATTGTCAAATTTGCCGGGGGGATGATGTACTGGTGGTTTAAAGAGTCCAACAGACTCCATTCGTACCCAGCCAAACCCAACAGCAGAATTACATCGTCCCGGCATAACTGTTCTAGCTAATCATAGACCTGCAATCAACCAGTTGGGAACCTAAAGCGCAAGTGGAGATTGCGCTGAGATGTCCCGGAGGGACTACAGAGGCTTTGCGGAAGGCACGGCTGTGCTCAGAAAACACAAACCTAGTTGTAAAATTGACCTAGTACGTGCTTTCTCAGCCCGGGCATAGAACGTGTTGGGCCAGCCCCGGGGTATTAGAGCTGCAATAGCACATCTTACTAGAGAATAAATTGACTGACCTCTGCAGACACTACAGTCAGCAGGACCCCTTATGGACTTACGGTTGCAAGGACCATATCCAGGGGGGGTGGGGGGCTGCTGGCACAAATGAGCAGAGCCAGCAGGACCCTGTTGGACCTCTGCAGACAGGACAGCGTCATGCAGACGTTGTTCTCGCTTTACGCGGATATTACGCATCGTATTCCAGGGAGAACACATTGATCGGTGAGGTATCATCAGCGAGCCTTGCGGAGAGAAATTCCGAACGATGGGCCACCAGGACCCTGTTGGACTTCTGCAGTCAGCAGGACCCTATTGGACTTCATTTGCAAAGACCATATCCAGGGGGATGCTGCCACAAATGAGCAGAGTGAGCAGGACCCTGTTGGACCTCTGCAGACACTGTAGTCAGCAGAACCCTGTCGGACCTCTGCAGACACCGTAGTCAGCAGAACCCTGTTTGACTTAGTTTGCAAGGACCATATCCAGGGGGCTGCTGCCACAAATGAGCAGAATCAGCAGGACCCTGTTGCACCTCTGCAGACACTGTAGTCATCAGGACCCTATTGGACTCAGTTAGCGAGGACCATATTTAGGAGACTGCTGCCACAATGAACAGAAACTGTCCTTGGTAAACCGTTGGAGTCATGCAGACAAGAAGTGCTTCAGTGTATTCACTATCGCAGTGCATCGTTGATCGGATCTAAACTCTCCTGAAAGGTAGCTCCGAATGTCCACGTCAACAAGGAAGGTATGTTTATGATGCCGCCGCAAGTCGGCCATCTACCCAAACACCAACGTCATTACCCCCCTGGCACCCCCCTTGCCATCCACACCATCATCTGTTCATTTAACGGTTGCACAGGCTGTGTATGCGGGTCATCATATGCGTTCCTCCTTTTTGGTGTAGCATACATTCACACTTGGTTTATGCAGTTGGTCAATGAGCCATTAGTTGTCAAGCTGCTACAGGCAGAACACACCAACATGTTGAAAAGCTCACATCTATTATCACAATAGAGCTACCCCCAGCACTGGAGGCTGTTCAAGATTTCCGTCTCTGTCTCAACTCCAAATCTCATCTGCCGCTTTGAATGCCAGCAGCACTCCCATTTCTTCTCTTAGTTACAAAAGTTGGCAGGGAGGTCAGTTTGTTATCTAGTTAGTGCCCTGGTTGTTTAGTTAGTTAGCTATTTAGTGCCCTGGTTGTTTAGTTAGTTAGCTAGCTACTTCGTTGGATCGCTAGTTAGCTAGTTAGCTAGTTAGCTAGTTAGCTAGTTAGCTAGTTATCAAGTTGGTTAGGTAGGTGCTTAGAACAGGAGATTCTTGGTAGTCGGCAAGGTGTTCGACTAGCAAAAAGACACAATAGCACAGTTAGACGGATACTTACGCTGGCCGTACGTGTTCCAAGCTAACCTCTGCAGGTGTATCTCTGCCAAACATCCATAGCAATGTCTTGACTGTACCTAACCGGCGTTGCACCTTGACCACTTTACCGCGAAAGCCTGCAAATGGGCCCGACACAACTTCGATCGGTGCACCATCCTCAAGCTTTGCGACTTTCTTCGGTAGCTCTTTTTTACGTTGCTGCTCAGCTGCCACCTTTTCAGCCACTGCCGCAACCTTTGCTTCTTGCTCGGCCATCCTTTCGAACAGCGCTTGTATCACGTTCTCCCTCACTGCCTGGGGCATGACCAAGTACCGTACACTGTTCCCCTTGAAGTCCCCATAAAACCCAGTGACGCGCGGGACCTTCCTGATGACATCATACAGTTTCTTGTCCATTGTTGCCCGCATCAAAATGACGCCGGGGTACAACCTTTTCTTCTGCTTACTAACGGTCCCATCGATCTTCAGCTTACCAGTTGGCACCTCTGGGATAACAAGTTCCACATCCCGATCGGGCAACAATTCGGCAAGCGCTTGGAGGATTGCCTCCTTGGCGCGTTTCTCTCCATTGCCAGACACGCGAACCATGTACCATCGTGGACCTAGAGCAGTGACTTGCTTGAAGCTGAAAGCCTGCTGAATCACCTCTGGATCTTTCATGACCTTTCGGTCCCGGTTCCGCATGGCCCACTTCTCCTCCATTTGTCCGTGCCACCCGAGGCTACCTTCTTCATCCTGACCCTTCAATTGTCTCTTCCTCGCTCGCAGTTTTCGCCTTTCCCTTGGAGAAATCCCCTCCTCAGCCTCATTTCCGATACCTGCACCTAGGCCAGATGATGAGACAGATGCAGACACATTCCTCCGTTCCCCGTTAGCTTCTTCTCCAGTCCAAATCGACGTGATAGAACTGGGTTGTGAAGCCATAGCCGATTCCTCCGCCTCTCTCACCTTCCTTATCTCTCCGATTGCCTTTGCATCATCATGCTCCTGCTTCCATTGCCCTGCCAATACTCCAATGGCCACTTCCTCCTCATCTTGTCCCTCTGCTTCCCTCGCTGTTTCCCCGGTGTACGCTTTTCTGTGCTTGCCCATCCTGCTCGCCACCTCCTTCCTTACCTCTGCTGCTCCCCTACTGGTCACTTCCATTTTCTCTTCCTCCTCATCATCACATGCTCGTCTGTGGGAGTCTTCCTGCTCCTCTTCCCCGAATCCTCCCGTGACGGCATGTTTCTCCTCTTCCTCTTCTTCCCCGCTGCCATCCTCTCCGTCCTCCTTACGTGCTCCACCAACGGGAGACTCTTCCTCCACATCCCCCTCCTCTTCCTCCTCAGAATATTCCCTGATGGCCTGTTGAACTGCCATCACCTGGGTGATGGAGGTAAGATGCCTCTGCACACACATCATTGAGCACAGCCAACCGCCCGAAACACCAACATGTTTCACTACCAATCCCCTGTGCATATGCCCTCCCCGACATTGTTTCCTCCGACTAAAACAGCTTTGGGTGAACGGCAGGGACACTCTACCTTGTTTGGTGAAGATATCCATCCCTATCCCTGAAGCTGCCATATGGCACTCCTTGGAAACTACTGCCATACGCTCCCTGCGCTTGGGCGTCGACAGATCGTCATAAGCACCCCCTTTGTGAAACCTGCAAAAGGTTCTCCTCCGCCTCGATGCCCTGACACCACAAGAGGGGCAATGAGAGGCAGGTGCCGTCCACTCGTTTCCTAACACCGGACCAAGCTGCAGCCACTCCAGCCAAGGAGGCTCTCTTCGCCACTGCCTCCCCCCCAATAGTGTGCATCTCCATGCGGACGTCGCTTCATGAAACACACTTTGCAGTTTTGAACAGTCACCGCAATGTCTAAAACAGTTCTTCTGTACAAAGGCTGGCTTGATGCACCTTGACCCTCCCCATTTAAATAGGTTACCACCAGATTGACCACTACTACACTCAATCATTGATCCGATACATTGCTCACCCTTGGCTGGATGATGTTGCCCGGAGCTGCCCTGCACACATGCCTGGACGTGGAAATGCCCAGCCTTGCCTGCTAAAAACAAAAGATAGCATTAAATCAGAAAAGTTACAGGCGTGTCGCGGCGATGCCGCGGCAGGCGAGGCACTGGCATGTGACACACACACACACACACACACACACACACACACACACACACACACACACACA